ACAAAGCTGAAATGTTTTCAGGCAGTTAAAGAGAGGAAAGTTGATCACAAAGGTAGCGCCATCTTCAATTAAGTCCCAAATCCACACTTAAACCCTAAATTCTCCAAAGTGATCCTTAATCCCTGGAAGAATGAGATACACTAAAATCTATAACCCCATGCCCAAATCCATTTGTGAAAACTTAATCTTTAATATGATATTTGGAGAGGGGATTTGAGATGAGTAGGCTATGACATTAGTGCCATTATAAAAGATACCTCAAAGACAAACCTTGTCCATTCCCCATGTGAAGACAGAGAAAAGATGGCTACTATCAGCCATCAGTCAGATGGCTGACTCAAGGAGGTTGGTTCTTTGCTGGTGTTTTGGTGCAGACTTCAGCCTCCAGAGATAACTGTGATGTGGGGAGTGGCTAAAGCTGGAGGTGGATCACATGTGCTGGGCTGGAGCAAGGCTAGCCTCAAGAACACAGAGCCCCTGAGGCAAGTCCCATGAAGAAGCCACTTTAGTCTCAAGAACACTGGGTAAATAGGTGTACGCATTTCATGTGACATTCAACCTCCCAAGTGTGTAAACAAACGTGCTGCAGCCATTGAGGCCCTCCTTCTCTTTCTTCGCCTCCTTCTCCTTCTTTTTCCTTTCTTACTTCTTCTCCCATCAGGAAAGAGGGCATCATCAGGCCTCAGTTTACCATTTTAAAAAAAAATGATGACCATAACTACAAAGGTGGTGACTAAGACATCCCCCAGGGAGGGGGCACTAGCAAAGCTGACCCGGAGATGGAGCCCATCCCTGGCAGTGAGGCAGGCATTGACCCCTTCCCAGTCACTGCCACTGAAGTGGAAGCATTGGTACAGGACAGCATAGACAGTCAAACTCAGGAATGTAAGTGACATCCATTTGCCAGAGATGATTGAAGGTTTAACCTCTATAGAGAGTGAGGGAAGATGTATTATGCACGAGGAATATTGCTTAACGATTTGTCAAAAGATGGCTACTATCAGCCATCAGTCAGATGGCTGACTCAAGGAGGTTGGTTCTTTGCTGGTGTTTTGGTGCAGGGACTGAGGGACAGCAGTCCTCCCATTAGGCTGATGAGCTGCTACTGCAGCCAGAGGAGCTTGCTCACCCAAACCCCCAATGCAGCAGAGTGGGAGCTGCAGCTGGAAGTGGGAAGAGTGAGTGGGAGCCCCAGGCACCCAAGTACAGGATGTGTTTTTTTTTCTGTACAAAAGACTGAATTGCAGCTTGTTATATGGCCCTTGCAAGATCATTCATCCACTCCAATTAACCTCTTTTCAGATGGTGCTTATGTTTGCTGTGTGGTATGCCACATTGACACTGCCACTATACACACTGGCCAGAAGCATCTTTTTTGTTTGTTTTGAACTCTACGATTTGCAATTTGGTCATGCCTGGTCCCGTTTTGTTTTTCATTTATATTCTCATTCCCAATTACCCGAGCCTCTCACTAAGGCACATGCTACTATGGACAGATTTCTGGCTACTGTCACAATTGCTCCCTCAGATACTGTTCAACAGGCTTCTGCCTCCCATGCCACCTTCCATCAAAATGCCTTTGCCTTGAGCAAACTGTTCCTTTTAACTTGGGAACCAGCTTGACAAATCGTTAAGCAATATTCCTCGTGCATAATACATCTTCCCTCACTCTCTATAGAGGTTAAACCTTCAATCATCTCTGGCAAATGGATGTCACTTACATTCCTGAGTTTGACTGTCTATGCTGGGTCCATGTATCAGTGGATACTTCCTCAGGATTTATTTTTGCGTCTACCCACAGTGATGAAGCAGTTAAACATGTCATTGCTCATTGCTTGGATGCCTTTAGTACCTTTGACTGCTCATGAGCGTTTAAGACAGACAATGGCCATGACTCATCCAGACAGCTGACACTGACTGAAGAACTAGAGGTGCTATGTATGGTTCCAGGGTAAATCTTTTTTTTTTTTTTTTGGCTTTTCTCTGGTACCGGGGACCGAACTCACGACCTTGCCAGGCAGATGCTTTGCCACTGAGCTAAATCCCCAGCCCCCTCCAGGGTAAATCTTGAGGAGACTTAACTGACCTTGATAAATAGCAAAAATTGATTAATGCAGGTCCCACCTTAATTTAGTCTTAAACATCTAGCAGAAAAGTATAATCACAAGAGGTATAAAACAATGCCACCTACACTACTAACTGGTCACTGTTTTGGGATAATGCTCTGTATAGGATTAAATTGCTATATACAGGGATTTAAAGTCATTGGAAGGGGAATCTTTAGCCAAAATCGAGGAAATTCATCCAGAATGAAGAGTTAAAAAATAAAAGGGTCTTCTACAGAATCTTCCAAACACAGATCCTCCAATTCCAACTGACCACCCATTGCTTGTAACTACAAAACAAAAAGGAGGAATGTGGGGAATGGCTGAAGCTGGAGACTGATCACACATGTAGGGCCAGAGCAAGGCCAGCATAAAAAACATAGAGCACATGAGGCAAGTTACATGAAGAAGTTGCTCTAGTCTCAAGAACACAGAGTGCCTGAAGCATCATGTTAATAAGCTGCTTTAGTCTCATGAACACAGTGCCTGAGGCAAGCCACGTGGATAAGCTACAGATGGCGGGGTTTCACATGACATTTAACCTCCCAAGTGTATAAATAAATGTGCTGCCCTTCTCTTGGGGCCCTTCTTCTCTTCCTCCTCCTGCTCCTCCTGTTCCTCCTCCTCCTCCTGTTCCTCCTCCTCCTGCTCTTCCTCCTCCTCCTTCTTCTTCTTTTTCTTCTTCTTTCTCTCTCTCTCTCTCTCTTTCTTTCTTCCTTCTCCTTCTACTTTTCCTCCTCTTTCTTCTTCCTTTTCCTTTCTTTACTTCTTCTCCTATCAGGAGAGAGGGCTTTATCTGGTCTCAGTTTTCTGTATTCTGTCTCTTGTCTTTTTTCCATTCTTTCACTGTCCTCACCCTGGGAACTGTGAGAAGCTGTGTGGGACATGGCACTGGGAGGAATTCATTTCTGTTGTAAAATCCTCCCAGTCTGCAGTAGTTTGTTTAAGCAGCTTGAGTGGACCAGGCCAGCGGTGTTGGCACCCATGTTGCAATGAGCATGTAGAGCCCTCTCTGTCTGCATGTGAACCATGTTCCCCATGGAGCCGAACATCAGAAAACAGTTGTTTTCTCTATATTAAAACCTCACTATTCAGGTTTAATTGCAGGTTTGGTACTTTGCAATAAATAAGTGAGTTTGGGGTTGCAGTTCAGGCATTCTGTCTCTTAAAGGTTTGCCATCACTGTTCTAGGATGAAGAATAAACCTGCAGTCCATAAAGGAATGAAGCAGATCAGATAATGCAGACAGAACTCAAGGAAGAGCAGGACATGTAGATTTTTATTCCACACCCTGTACTTCTGAGCAGTCACCAGATAAGCTGCCCATTTCTGAGAACACCTAGCTTCATTCAGCACCTTCCTACTGGCCAGGGAGTCAAGCCTGGAATGGAAGTGCCTGGTCATTGGCCAGGGAGCTGCTGTGTCCCTAACACCAGAGGGCAGACCTCTGTCCTCTACCTAGGCAATCTAGGGTGCCTCTGTTCCAGGGAAGCCAGTCATTGCGCAAAATTTGTCTTCTCCTTTTGCCAGGGGAGAATGGGTGAGTAATGGAGAGACTTGGTCAAGGAAACAGACTGTGAGGATGTACAGCCTGCTTAGCTGCAAGCTTTCCTATTAGGGTTGCCTAAATCCCAGAAAAGATGGGGCCATGAGGAACAGGTTTATGAGATCACGGCATCTCAGGGTCCCTGAGCAGTGGGGTTCTGAGCTAGGGTTAACAATTTGGGCATCAACATCACATTTCTGTGTTCCGGTCTTAGCTCCTCTACTTCCTGGCTGCCTCGACCATGAGCAAATTATTTATCTCTCTGAATCCGACTTTTTTTTCTCCTTTTGAAAATATAATTATGGAGTACCCATATGTCAGGGTCACAGTGAAGGTTCCAGAAAACGACTCTTGTTAATTTCCCCAGCTCCCTTCTCTTTATACTGGGGATTGCACCTAGAGCCTTACACTGAGCTACATCCCCAGACCTTTTCAAAAACTAACACTAATATTATATTTGAGACATGGTCTTGCTAAGTCTTTGAGTTACCCAGGCTGAGCTCAAACTTGCAGTCCTATCTCAGCTTCCAAGAGTGCTGGGGTTGTAGGCACGAACCACTATATCAGGCTATGCTCTCTGCTCTCATTCTGCATACTAGTCTTGGGTCATGCAGCTAGGTGAAAACACCAGTCTGTGCTTTCTGCTCTTTCCATGTAGAAGACTCCAAAATTCTAACTTCAAGATCAGAAAAAAAATCTCTAAAATGTCCTGGAGTCGTGGACATGGAGATAGGATTGTCCACTGGTGCCTAGAGCTGGGGGTACCCTGAAGAGCTTGTCCAGTGATTGTGCATACTGTGCATATGCAGGCCTACAGATCCATGCAAGTGTAGTTATTGGAACTGAGCTCCCAGTGGACGAGGGTTAGCATCCTGGAGCAGGTGGGTGAGCCTAAACTATTGTCCGCCCAGGGCCAGTGCCCAAGTTTGCTAGGGAGGGAGCAGGGATGCACCAGCCTTTTCTGCTAGGCTGTTGGTAGTGCAAGTGAAGTTTTCCCTCCCACACAATTAAGGGAACGGAAAGAAAGTGGAGTTGCCCGTACTCGGCGCTTTAGTGGTTTTCCCACTGTTTGTCATGCATCTTTTCTGTGTGCCAGGGGCTGGAACTTAAACTTCCGTGCTGGACTGGGTCCCTTCGCCCAGGGAGCGCCCCAGACTGTCCCCCGAGACACGCCCTAGCCCAGAGGCTGGTTAGAGAGAAGTTAGAGGCAGAAAAAGAGGGGAGGGGGAGTGAGGACCTGGCAGCAATGGAAACAGCAGATTGCGCCGAGCCAATGGCAGCAGCAGTACGAGGTGGCACCAAATTCCCGCTGGCCAATGACGACCCAGAATTGAGGCAGCCTAATTAGCATTTCCCTCGGGGTTAAGGGTGGGAGAGCGCGATGTAGGCGACTTCAGTATCTCAGTCCTCCAGTAGTGTATTAAAAAGCGTTAGATCTCCTCTTTCCCGCACTCGTTTCCACACGAGGCTGCCTCCGCTGTCAGCTTTGTGGCTTTTGTTCCTCGTTCTTAAAACAGAACGGACCTAAGAAAATACAGGTTACAGTCACGTCACTGCCGGCTGTAGCCTTAAAAACCCAGCTGTGGGACATCCACTGACGGCAGTTTCAGGCCCAGGAAGGGTTCCGAACGCGGCGCACGCGATCTTCGTGCACGAAGTCTGGCCATCCTCAGTGCCTGTAGTCCGCATTCGCTCCGCGGTCTCAACCCAGGGAACTGAGTCTCCGCCTCTGAGAGCCAAGATGCCCGCTCATATGCTGCAGGAGGTGAGTTTCCTGGGAACTGCTCGCGTCTGCGCGTTAGCGGCCACTGATTGGCTTCTAGGTGACCGCTTGGTAGAGAGAGTTGAGCGCTCTAGGAGGACGTGATCGTTTCTTGGGTTGCTCTGCCCTCAGTACTAGATTATTAACATGGGAATTTGATTTCCTAAATTCTGTTCCTTAAACGTTCCTAAATTAGTAAAAAAAAAAAAAAAAATGCGGTCGTACCGGTATCTGTGTGTCTATAGGCGAGGTCTCCTTTGTGTGTTGCTAGGATTGCGTCTGTTTTCACCCTCTCTGCCCCTTCACCCTGTGATCTGCTTCCTAATCAGTCTGTAGTTTTTGGAAACTTCCCTCCGTTTCAGATCGGGGTACACTCCATCCTCACATGACCGGGGTGCCTGTATTGCCCCTTCTCCCAGCTACACTACTGAGCAAGGGCCCTGTACTCGCCTCTGCCCCGCCTTCCTCTCCTTCCAGATCGCCAGCTCCTACACGACCACCACCACCATCACAGCGCCTCCCTCTGGCGGCCTGCAGAATGGAGGCGAGAAGGTGGAGAAAAAGTCCCTGTACTCAGAGGAAGACATCCGTCCTGAAATGAAAGATGACATTCGAGACCCCAACTATGAGGACGAGGAGGGTCCTGCGCCCGAGCTGGAGTATGTCTGGAGAAACATCATCCTGATGGGCCTGCTGCACGTGGGAGCCCTGTATGGGATAACACTGGTTCCCACCTGCAAGGTCTATACCTGGCTGTGGGGTAAGCAGGTTCTGTCTCTGGCTAGTACTCCAGGGTGCTGCCGGCTGTTAAAAGATGCGGTCTCACACAGCAGTGGCCCCTGTCTGTCCACAATTCCCAGCCATGTCGCTGGTGGCCCAGGAGGCTGATTACACTGGGAATAGCGCCCACTAGGGTTGGGAAGCAGGAGTGTCATTTCTAGTAGTTTCTTCAGCTGGGTGTTGGGGAGTGACCTCAGAGTCCACCTGCAGAGGCTTTGAGGGGGAAGAACAGGGACAGAGAGGCAGCTGCCCATGAATGAGCTTCACAGTTTGAGTCATTAGCCTGGCTGCCTGCCTCAGGCCTGCCTGCCACAAAAGAATCAAGACACCTCTGTGGGAGGCGTGGAATCCTGATACTAAACCAGGGGCTTCATGAGCTATGTGTTGAGCTCAGTCATGGACAGAGTAAGTAGAAACTGCTCAGAACTGGAGATCATTGAAAGGGGACTAACACAAAGGGGCTTACTCACAAAAATAAACCAAGCTGGCTTAACATGGGACATAAGGACAGCTTCTGGATAACCTAACTGCGCAGATGTTTTGCTCTAGGTGTGTCTCCAGGGTATGCCACGTGGCAGTCAACCAAATGTTCTTAGACTCCGATTGCAGAAATGTTGCATGTTCAGTTCTCCACCCAGCCTACTCCAGCCCTTCTCTCCTCAGCCCTGGCAGGCCAACATTTCAGGACCTTATAATACCAGTCCTCCTACACTTATCTATCCATCCTCCATAGCAGGGACAGCCAAGCCAGAGTGAAGGGCCCTATGCAGCTCCAGCCTTCACGCAGCTTTAGTAAGGGAGACAGTTGACACTTTTCCCTGACCTGTCCTTGGCTAAGCTCTTTCTGGGATCTGTGGGTTGTGTTGAGAGCAGATCCTATGTCCTAGATCCACATGTGCTTTTCATGTGTCTGCCCACTGATGCATGAAGTAGAGAATAGCATAGAACTAGGTATGCTATTTCTGCTTTTTCAGGGGTGGTGAGTCAGGATTCCCTCTCTAGAAGACAATCAGATTTTCTGGAACAGTCTCAGGTGTGGGTACTTCCTGGCACTTGTGTTAGAGAGGGGTGGTGTAGAAGGGCTTGTTGGTCAGGAATGAACTGCTCCCCCTACATCTCTTGGGTCTAAAAGGTGGTAAGATCTAGTCTCTCAAGTTTTGTTCTGGAGATTCTCCAGGAGCTACATGGAAATGCAGCTGAAAGATCCTCTTTCTCAGGAACACAGTTTTTCCTGGTAGTGAGTGAGGACACTGTACTTTGTCAAGATTAGGTTTGTTAGTTTCTTAGGTTAGTAATCTGTGATCCCCATGTCCTCATTTCTCCCATCTTAAGAGGCTTCTGTATCATTTTGTAGAATCTGTAAGAGCTTGAAGAACCCAAGAGCAGTTGAGGAGTATGGCAACACTGAAAGCCAAAGGGCAAAACACCTCAAGTATACTTCTTAGGGCACAGTGGTGAGGCGCTGCTTAACCATCCATGTGGAAATTAACAGTCCTTCTGTAGGAAAGTGAGAACTGATATAAGTGGCTATAGCATCCTATTCGACAGACTCAGAGGGGTGAATAGAATGCTGGAGTGCCTGTGCTTTTGTCCTAATTATCCTCTAATTGTGGATATGTTTTGGGAGCCAATAGGCTAGGATAATTGTGGCACGAAACAAACTTGAGTTTTTCCTTGGCCCTCAGCTGAGTGCTTCTGCTTTGCTTAAAGCCTGTTCCTTTTTCCTGGCCATTTCAGGGTTCTGGCTCCACCGGGGTTTTACAGGTAGAGGTGTGGTCAGACACTATATCAGGGAAGGTCTCAATCATCACATGCGTAAAGGCTACAGATCACCTAAAGCTGTGTGCCAGGACTTTCCACGAACAGATGCTGCCTCTGTGGCTCTCCTGGGGATCCTGTAGGAGAAACAAGACAGAGTGTAGGAGGGAAGAAGAAAAGACGTTGTTTATTAAAGTGTTATCTTTGGCTACTGAAAAACACAGGATAGTTTGTTAAAATGTGTGGTGTCTGCAGACATAACTAAGATCTGAGAACCTGTAGTTCCCAGATGCCTGCTAGGAATGACACATTATTAACAGCTTCTAAAAAGGCCTCAATTCTTGCTTTCTAGAGCTGCTGATCAGAGGAAGAAATAGGTGTACACTCAGCACCCCTTTCTCCACTAGCGAACATACAAGCATGTAGGCCTAGAGGATGGTGAGGTGGGACATTTCAGTGTCTATCAGCTCTGAGTATCTCCCAACTTTATCTAGAATTAGCATTGATGATCAGAGTCTGGGCTGATATTGAGATGTCTCAGTGGAGAGATCTCAGAACTGGGCACAGGTCATGTGAGGTGGAAGGCAAAGCTGGAATAAGAACTTGGTGACTGAAAACCAGAGTTGCAGTTTTACTAGCCATGTGAGTTTGGATAAACACTTAACCTTTCTCAGGATACATTTTTTCAGCTGCGGTGTGTGGTACACTCACACCTGGTCTAATCAAGTTGTACAGTGAATATGAGAATGTACTTATGTTATTGTTGGAGCTTGAGCCACTGTGTGCAGGGCTTATGTTCCCTAATTTGGCTACACTCCCTGATACAATATTGAAATGCTTCTTTGCCAGCTGGTAAATAGCCACAGATCTGTACCTGGAAGTGTCCTCTACAATTCAGAGCTCCTCTAATTGGTCAGTGCCCAAATTGCTGTGACTGCTATTTTCAGAACACCCATGCTCAAGGGTCTTAAGGTCTCTAGGAGTAATTGGTGGCACGGGACATTTTAGAGAAGGTCAGCTGAAGGTCTGAGGAAGTAGGACCTGGTATGAAGCCCCTACAGACTGGGGCAATAAGTGGCACAGTGGTGAGAGCCCAGTTTGCTCTCCTGTCTGCTTGACTCCTTGGTTCAAGTGGTAAAAGTTATGAAGCCTCAGAAACAAATTCATTGTTAGTATTCAGGGAAAGGAAACCCTCACCGAATGCTTACTAAAGAAGACACAGATTGACATCAGGAGTGTATCTTTGACATGCTTCCCTTGATTGAACTTGCATGTTTGTGATCCTTCACTGTCTTGTCCTGGCAGTACTCATATACTATACAGTGAGTGGACTGGGCATCACAGCAGGAGCTCATCGCCTGTGGAGCCACCGAACTTATAAAGCACGGCTGCCCCTGAAGGTCTTCCTGATCATCGCCAACACAATGGCTTTCCAGGTAAGAAGCTGGCACTGCTTGGCTTTCCTGTCTTAACCCCACTGATGATCCAGGGAGGAATGGATGGGACAGCATCCAGAAAGGTAGCCCTAGCAGGAAGGCCACTGCCTTTTCCATTCTCCTGTGGTCACATAAGTACAGGGTCAATGTTGAGGTCCACCAAGCAGGGAGGACTTTAGATTCACTAGGATAGCACATAGGTAAATGGGACAGAGTCTTCTGGTATAGAGTCATTTCTGATCCCAAGGTCCCTATATAATCATACAATGTGACTTTTGTGATTTTTCACCATGAGAAGCCATGGTGCTAAGCCAGCTATGGACCCTGGTTTCCTGGCCAGTCAGTGGCACTAAACTCATACTTTATGGGGACTTCTTTAGACTCTGACAGCAGGATAGAAGGTGATATGTTACAGACTCATGGCCTCTGCTGTCAGATAATAAAAGCAAATACATAGAATGATGTGCTGGGCACCGTGTTAAACATTTGACATAGATGAATTCATGAAGTCCTATTTTTACAGATGAGGAAACTAGGTCTCTGAGGGGTTGGGCAGAAAACTTTGTGATCCTGTCTGGGATTGCCATGCTTGCTAACTCAGGTGCCAAGGTTGGATCAGACAACACATTTCTGAGACAGAATGAATAGAACCGGGGAAGGTGATTCTGCTAGTGGTTAGACCCTAGCAATGGGCACAGGACAGCTTGTGCTGTGAGGCTTTGCTTGAGCAAAAGGAAAACAGGGAACAAAATAGATTTACTTGTCTTTTCAAGATCTGAGGTGCTTACTTCCTTTGTATAATCATCTCTGCTCTAGCAAGTTATTATTTTTTTTTTTTTTTTTTGTTTTTCTCCGGTACCGGGAACCGAACTCACGACCTTGCGCTTGCCAAGCAGGCGCTTTTGCCGCTGAGCTAAATCCCCAGCCCCTGCTCTAGCAAGTTAAACCTTGACATTCTTTATGGTATCCTTGTGAGGCAAAGGGAAGGACGAGAGGTACAGATAAACTTTTAAAGTGATGGAAAGGATCCCAAGAAAGCTCAGAAGACCTCTGGAAATGTGGTCTTGGATCATGATTTTATGAGGCCTTGTTACTGAGCTGAGTGAGCTGTAATTTGGGTAGATAACAGGATAGAGTTCCCCATAGCTTTATCCACAGAGCAACACCCCAAGACCTGATGTGCTTGCCTCGTACTCTCTGTGCCCAAAGATTAGGCACCCCCATGAGGACCTTGTCCCATATTCCTTGCTTGAAGAATTGCCATGTTCTTTCCTAAGGAAATTATCACCATGCTGAATTTACCTCTACTCTCCCTGTACATAGCCTTCAGGATATGGCAGATCTATTTCTATGCTCTGGGTCTATAAAGATCTTTTGCACATAAGCTGGGGGGCAAATATGAAAAAGAGCATAATTCTTCCATGTCTCTTTTGGAGCCAGACTCCTGTGGACTTTGTGAGGGTTGGGCTGAGCACTTGCAGACATTTGGGCACTGAATTTGCCCAGGCAGTCATCTCTCCTCAGGCCTGTGTTCCTTTTCTCTGTCCTCCAGAACGACGTGTATGAATGGGCCCGAGACCATCGTGCCCACCACAAGTTCTCAGAAACACATGCTGACCCTCACAATTCCCGACGTGGCTTTTTCTTCTCTCACGTGGGCTGGCTGCTTGTGCGCAAACACCCAGCCGTCAAAGAGAAGGGGAGGTTGCTCGACATGTCTGATCTAAAAGCTGAGAAACTGGTGATGTTCCAGAGGAGGTGAGTGAAGGCAGGATGGAGATGGGGATGTGGTTCTTGACACCTGGGGTTAACAGTCCCAGTCTTTTATGATTTCTAAAATAAAAGCTGAAAGTTAATGGGTTTGCATGCTCAAATCATCATTTGAAATTCCAATTTTAATATTTCACAGATCCACAGACATAAACTAACACTCTCTTTCTATGAATTATTTTAGTGAAACCAGTTACTTGCAAATGAATGTTTATTGACCTTGCACAATTAGGGACGCTAAGATGAATGCGGCTGAGTCTTAACCTTCAAGGGTTATGAAACCTTTTGGGAGGGGGAAAGATAAGCCGAGTGTCCAAACAGTCATGATACAAGGCAGAACATTTTTTGTAGCTGATAGGTATAAAAAGGGGAGAGCTTGCTTGGTGGGGGAACTCTAGGGAAGGAACTCTATAAACTGTCTACCCAGTGATTGAGTTTTACAATTTTGCTGAGCAGGGATACTGCAAACAGAAAGAAAAAGGTGAGCTAAAGCCTGAAGCAGGTTTCAGAAACATAGCCATTCTATTCAAGTATAGGGGTGCTAGGAAAAAGGACATCTACAGTGACTGAAGAGGTCATGGAGAGTCCTGGTCCCAGACTACCGTATGACTCATTTGGCTACAGGCAGCCACTGATTGTTTCTTCAGAAGCAGTTTGCACAATCACAGGGAGCTGCAGGCCAGGGAGGGAACTAAGGATCCAGAGATGAGAGGCAGGATCACAAAGTAGGAGTTAGGAAGGGCCCAGATTGGGGAAGCAGTGGCAGGAGTTGGACACAGGGAATGTGAGGGACATAAAAGTAGAAGGCATGACTGCTGCATACCTGTGGGCTTTGGAATGTCAGTGGCCTGGTGTGGCACCTGCAGGTGATGGAGAACACTCAGTGTACCTGCTGAGGGGAAAGCAAAGCAAAGCATTAGGGGGCGGTAGCAGGAAATGCAAGTATGACACTTAACCACCCCTCTGCCCAGTCATGAAAGGCAAGTTAAAACAGCTGAAGAGCAGATACACAGAGCAGCCTGGGTGCAGAATTCTGCTGAGGAATTTGTGATTTGACCCTTGGCTGTTTAACTCTCCCGGCCTTCTAGTGTCATGAAAAACATGCTGAATTTCAAGTCAAGAGACAGATGCCCCAGTCCTTGCTGTACTGTTTCCTAGTGGGACAATCCTTAAATGTCATTTAACATGTCCACATTACCGCATGTGCAGAGTGAGATAATGATACTATGCTCAAAAGATTTCTACCCCATTTTCTGATGCTGGTTTCTGTCCCCTGCAGTCATAGTATAGGAGCAAAAACATAGTCCTAGCCAATGAGAATGGAAAATCCAGGTAGCTGTGAGAAGCCTTTCTCTAAAGTTAGCGTGTGATTTCTCAATATAGGTATTACATACCTGGTCTTCTGTTGCTGTGCTTCATCCTGCCCACACTGGTCCCTTGGTATTGTTGGGGTGAAACTTTTCAGCACAGCTTGTTTGTTGCCACTTTGCTGAGATATGCCGCAGTGCTCAATGCCACCTGGCTGGTGAACAGTGCTGCCCATCTCTACGGATATCGCCCATATGACAAGAACATTAATTCTCGGGAGAACATCCTGGTTTCCCTGGGAGCTGTGGGTAAGTCAGTTGTCTATAACAAAATCACATCTCATGTCTGCTGATTAGGGTGTTTGGCTAGAAGCCATACAATCAGAACAACCTATTTTTATGACCAATTTGTAGCTCAGTGTTTCAGTGTATAACTAGGGGGCAATATATTGGGAAGCCCTTCTGAGAGGCAGGTATCAGCTCTTATGTAAAATGGAAAGGCTGAAAAATAATACTGCTTCTGATTTTAAGCTGTAAGCAACATGTCTTATGCTTACCTATCCTGTGCACATTTGAATTTCCTGTTCCTAGTTACCTTTGACAGGGCTGTAGTCTACTTGAGGCAGGAATGCATAAATTAAAAAGTAAGGTCATGTGCAGAGCTGGAATGCCTACTATTTTATAATTAAATTTAAACCTGCTATGTAAAATGTAGAAGAATTATCATTAGTTAAAAATAATCAGACAAGCCATACTTTTTTTTTTTTTTGGTACAGTACTGGCAGCTCAACTCAGAACATTTACTCTGAGCTACAGCTGCAGCCTTTATAATTTTTTTTCTTTTTGTTTTAAATTTTGAGGCAGGATCTCGCTAAATTGCCTAGGGTAGGCATGAGCGTATGATTTCCTGGCTCAGCCTACGAGCATGCTGAGATTATAGGCATTCACCACCATGCCCAGCATTATGCCACACAATATCCTGCTTACTGATCTGATATTGACTATTCTTGAATTTTATTCTTTCTATAATTTCAGTTCCAATTGCCAGATCAAAAAAAAAAACAAGATTCTACTATCTGTGTCGATTTTTCCCTCCTTCCAGATGAATATAGACTTTGACTAAGGCCTCAGGCTAGCTTTGCTTATACAGACTCAGGGGTCTTTTTTTATTTTTTGTGGTACGGAGAATTGAACTCATGACCTCAGGCTTGCCAGGCAAGTGCTTAAGCCTCTGAGCTATAACTGTGGTCCCTCAGGGGCCTTTTGTTAGCATTGATCAGAACTGTTATCCACCCAGTAAAACTTAGCCACCATACTGCTCACAGATTTGTTCACAACATTGCTTAATACTCATTAACCTGGTATTATGGTTATTTTTCCTATTTCTTTCTTATTCCATATGTCTCCCTCTTCCCTTCAGGCATCTTGTACTTTGTGCATGTTCACAGTGTGAAATAAATTACCTACACTATACAAATCTGATATTTTCATAGAAATGGAATAATCTAGATTGAGATGTGTGTCTTGTCTTGTAAACAGAACTATAGTGAGCTGCCAGCCTCCTACTTTGTCATTCACATCTCCAAATGTGCTCTTTCTCCCCTTTTACCTCACTCTTTGGTCTCCAGCCCTGTTTCCTACCATTCTAATCCTTTGTTGTTGAGTTATCTGTACCATAGTTACAAGCTCACTTGTCTCAGATATAGCTAACATTGCCCTAAGCCTTCCTTTGCCTGACTCTGCCCTAGTTGCTACCTGTGACCCTCCTTTTCTTTTGTCTTTAAACTTTAACACCCACACATATTGTATAGGTGTGGTGAATGCTTAGAGTCTCACTGTAAAACGCTGCCTGGAAGCTAACGATCATCTGTCATCACCTCAGACTTGGCACTGTCCACGCACCAACTTCTGCTCCACCCCTTCTCATTTTTAACCATGGACAAACCAGTGTTCAGAGGGATTTATGGTCTGAGAACCTTTGGTGAGTCATTTCCTTGCAGGACTTCTTTCCCTCACTTCTCATTCATTTCTAGCTTATCTGAGAGTTTCTTTGCTCATGTGTCCAAAAACCTCTCTTACCACCTGTTCTTTACCCTGATCGGATAAGGGTCAGAGACTTTTGTATTGGAATAGATTCAGAATGAAGAGTTGTGTCAAGACTTGGCAAATGTTTACTCACTATGGAAACCATCCCAATCCAGAATTTCTTTATTTTCCTCTTCAGCAAAGTGAAAGTCTCCCGGGAGGTCTCTGAAGTTACAGAGAATCTCTATTTTTGGAGCAGTTCAATATTTTTAGCACATCTCTCACTCCAGGGTCAAAGATTAGAGAATCAGAAACCAAAGCAGCTCTCTGTGAACCAGCAGTGCCCGTGGAGATTCTTCCCCTGTCTGGGCCTCCTTTTCCGTGACTTTCGCCATCCATTCTTTTGGAAGCTCCTGCTCTTCCAGGGAGCATCTGTACAATGGGGAACGGTATGCTGCTCACTTCCCCAATAAAGGGAGCCAAAGATTTTCCTGTACATCCTGCTCTTCCCATCCCACCCCAACACAGAGGTTTTCAGGTAGTACTTGCCGAAACTCTGGCATTTTTTCAGTGTAAGATTCATTCCCAGCAGTACAACTTCTCTCTATTCTTCTTACCCTCTGAGAGTTACTTTCTGTCACAAAGGCTTCCAGACAGCCTGATGACAAAGAACCAACTTATTGCTAAAAATGTCTTGGGTGGCATCTATTTGCTTCAAGCAAAACAGCTTGGTTTTATCTACTCACTCAACAATAGCAGGTTTTGATGAGGTTTGAGGTACCCTGACAGGTAAGAGGTATGCAGAGATGAGGTAAAATACATTTACACACCTCTGTCATTTCTCTTTCTGTTTTTGTTCCAGGTGAGGGCTTTCACAACTACCACCACTCCTTCCCCTATGACTACTCTGCCAGTGAATACCGCTGGCACATCAACTTTACCACATTCTTCATCGACTGCATGGCTGTCCTTGGTTTGGCTTATGATCGTAAGAAAGTATCCAAGGCTGCTATCTTGGCGAAGGTTAAAAGAACTGGAGATGGAAGCTACAAGAGTGGTTGAGTTTTGAGTCATCCAGGTTTTTCTTTCAAAAGTCAGCTGGGTACATGTTTAACATTGTGTTAATTAACTACTGAGTAATGCTTTCTGGGTGGTATAGGTGATGACCTTAACCTACCAGTGCAGTATTCTTGTAAAATGCACAAGTATTGAAAAGTAATAACTCTATTTTATACTACTTAGCTGATAGACTTTTCTTCTCTCCCATTCCCAATTTTCTTTTGTTGCTTTGTCTCTATTACCTTCCTTTTTACCCTCACTGCCTCCCGTGCCAACAATTGGTCACCCATAAATTGGTTATCCACCTTCCAAAGCCTGGCAACCTTTCTAGAGTCTAAATGTAAGGCCCTTTGCACTAGATGACTCTTTCCTTGGTGATAGTTGAAGATAGTTGCTTCAAGCTAGACATTCAACGAAATCTGCTGCAAAGTTCCTGCTTACTGTCATTATCCCATCCATTGCTAGATGAAACTGAAAATAATTTTTGGAGAGAGCTTGCAAAGTTGGTAAATCATGCAAGATGTTATGCAGGATAATAAGTAAGGTTGAGAGTTGAGCTGGGAAACTGGGCAAGGGTAATCTGCTGTAATCAGTCCAGGTTGCTTGTTAGTAAGACATGGAGCTCCTTCTCGCAACTTTCTTACTTTCTCTTCAGACTCGGTAGGGGATGGTTATGGAGGGGATGGTTATTCCTGGTGACCCTAGAATACAACAGCATATCAGAGACTTCATATAGGATACTGACAATAAAGAAGAAGCACTTGCTAATTAGGAAAAGTAGTTTCTGCTGGGTAAGGATATTTTTCTTTAATAAAAGGATTTCTTATTTTATAGACTAAGAAGTCTTCAGTTTGGGTATGTCTAAAATCAGTGTGTATAGGAGCTCATAGTTTTGAGGATTCTGTGAGTTGCTTATTCAATTCTGTTATTGATTTTCTGTGCTAATCACAGGATATTTGTCACTCCAGTTATAGTAATAGGATGGCTGTGACATTTTCATTCATCTAATCATGGAAAGATTTTAGGAGGTGAACTTGGAAGTTAAGTATACAGACATACATAATCTTCATTGGAACATGAAGCTATTTACATTGCTCCCCTGTGAAAAGAAATGTTAAAGAAACACGAAGGAGAGGAAGAATTCCTCATCTAGGGTTTCTATTTTCTGATACCGGGCAGGAGATGGACAAGTTGAACTGTAACATCTGTAACCAATCCCAAGGAATCTTTCCAAAATGAGTGCTCTGAGAACATATTGCCAAGGGGATTCAGAAGTTATTGAGTAAGCTATTGGGTCTTCTAGTGAAATGAGTTAGGTATTAGATCCTTTCATTCTAATTTTTCCTTGGATTGAGTAGAACTATACTTCTTCCTTCAGTGTCATGACCTTTCCCTCACTTTTTGCTTTGTCACATCCAGCCTACATGCAGGACTGTTTGTGATGGGGTAGGAATCTTTAACCACACTGATTCTTGATTCCTGGCTCTGTCCCATCTGTCCCTGATCTCTTTACTGGTTCTCTCTGTTCTGTGATGTTTTCTTTTTTCTCTAGACAGGCAACTTCCTCTGTGTATCCAGGGCAGCGAGGATTTGCTGTCCAGGCAGTTTCCTTTCCTACAGTGAAAATGCTAATTGTCTCTGAACTGCCAAGTCCCTTTAGCAATGGCCTGACTGTCCCTTTCTGTGGTCTCTAGATCTTCTACACCTCCACACCTGGGGTCACTGCTACACTGATAATTTGAGAAGTTTGGCAAACGCTCTAAAGAAATCTGAGCTCAAAGAGACTGTCTTTCTTTCATGAGTCATGGGCAAGCCAAACGCATACATCGTGCCAATGGACCAGCCACAGAAGAAAGCAAGGTTTATTGTTAGTTTCTCTGAGTCAGAGCAGAGAACATACTCAGTGCCCCTTTTGTGTTTAGTAAAGCTATTCAGGCAAATAAGTGCCCCCACATGACAGTGCAATGCTTTTAGGAGGATAAAAGGGGGGAACCTAGTCCCTTAGGAAGCATAAGGAGCAGGGGCATGTTCTCAAGTGTCTCATATTAAAAACAGGCCCCGGGGCTGGGGATTTAGCTCAGCGGCAAAAAGCGCCTGCTGGTTAAGCGCAAGGTCGTGAGTTCGGTTCCCGGTACCAGAGAAAAACAAACAAACAAAACAAAACAAACAAACAAACAAAAAAACAAAAAAGAGGCCCCAACCCCAAACTAAATGTGGTGTCTCACACCACATAATCCATGGTAGTCAGTAGGATAAAATGAAACTGGAAAAATACAGAACATTAGTGATTAGTGTCGGAAGATCATAGGTCTCTCTTGTTCCTTTAACTCAAATGTCAATGCAGAAGCCTGTCTCTGCTGTATCGGGATTGGCAGTGGTTAATACCAAATCCATGTCTACTGTTGTGTCTCAGTGGTCGGGGAGCATGGCTTTTCTTCTTATGTTCTAGGGTGTTCTAGGGACCATCCTGTATGAGGGCAGCCTTGTCTTTGAGCTGTTCAGAAAAGAATCTCTGGGAAGATCACTGTAGACGAGATCTGCTGTCCTGGATGCCTACCCCTTGCAAATGCCTGTAGGATAGTTTTAATTCTACAAGTCATGAGATACTTGCTTTACAATCCATGAAAAAATAAACTCAACTTTTTCTTCTTATTGAATCCTATCCATGGATCTGATCCATGCCATTTCCCTATAAAACACTGGGTATAAACCTCAGGCTGAGGGCCTGAGGAATATGTTGGTCTGCACATAAGGGCTTCTCAGATCAACAAGAAACACTATGTTCTAGATTCTAAAGCTTAATTCAAGTGACACATTAATAAGAAACTCAGATCTGACCAAGAATGAATTTCTAACAGTCCTTGTCTTGTGGGCTGCTGACAACTTATTTGAGTGCCTTACCTCTTTTCTAATGCATGTTGAATATGAGTCTTTCTTCACTGCCTCTGTGAAGTCCCTTAATATCTTTGACCCTCCAGTAGTGGTAAACATAAAAAGTGGCCTCGTCTGAGAATTACAAATACTTCAATTTGCAGGATTCAATTATGGGCTTAATTTTGGAAACTTTTCTTAGGGCTGTTTTTATTAAGTGCCCACATTTGATGGTGGGTGGAAGTAATTTGAATATATTTGATTTATAATATTTTTAGATTAAAAGATGATTGTAACATTTAAAATGGAAGTTTTCCTCCAAGGTTATCTATTATCTTGCATATTTTCTTTGTACAGATAGCTGAAGTACATCAGTATATCAAGTTAAGAAAGTACAGTTGCTATAGTATATTGGTGAAGGCCAGGGACATCTACCACTATGCAGCTGGCTTCCTCTGCGACTGTCATTTCCATAACAGACCTGTTCTAACAATAGTGAGTCCACCCTCAAAATGAGGATGTTAATGATGGTAGAGACCTCTTGACCTAATCACCTCTTAATAGTCCCAGCTCTCAATAATATTGCATTGGAGATATGGGACACATCACTTAATTATGTGTCTCACTGTTCTGTTTAAATGAGGTAACAATGCTGACCTACATCAATGGGCAGGTTTCAGGTGTGGCTAATGCTTTTAATAAAGTATTTTACAAGGTCGTGAGTTCAGTTCCCGGTACCGGAGAAAAACCGAAAACCGAAAAAAACAAACAAACAAAAAAATAAAGTATTTTAAAATCCTCACCAGGGGAATTCTCAAGTCCTATGTATTTTTATGATAGCTATGTTCACCATAGACTTGGCATGTACCTAAGTGCTGGATGGCATCGTTATTCTATACTACTCTCTTCAGAGATTAATAAATGCATTTGATGAGTGCTGGATAATTAGCCAGACAAAATTTGAGAATGCGTATTGTTGCTAAGAAAACATGCAGGATACCTTTTCTTTCCTTGGGTGGCATTTTTCCTTTTTTAATAACATATTAGTTATTTGTAACCTAAGAATAATTTTATAATAATTTCTGTTAATAATCACTTCTGAAGCTGTTTCTACTGACCTGAGGTGTGCTTGTTCATAATAAAAGTGAATTGAATCTGATTTTACTGTGTCTGGGAGCTTTTTGGTTATGATATTATAGTCTCCTGGGAACTGTGTCTATGGCCTTCCAACGTATCCATGTTCTGCACCTTTCAAAGTAAAAAAAGTAGCCGATACAGGTTTGAATCATACCCCAGTAATGGGCCCTGTCCTTTTGAAGGGTAATTTGAGGTTAAGCCCGGGAAGCTGGAAACCATGGAGCTGCTGCCTTTAAATCACCCTTAACCACAATCTGGCACCTTAGCCTGCAAAGAAGCGAGGTCTCCCCGTGAGTCATGTAGTCACAGGGACCCAGCTTAGAGATTCTGGGAGACCAGGAAACCCAGTAAACCACCCCTCCCTAGCTCCCCAATCGCTAGGGTAAAGGGTGGGAGATGCTGCACCTCCAGCATGGTAGCAAGACTTCTCAGGGCAAAACCTCCACTTTTGCCTTATCTAGGAATAGGACTGTGTGAGCAGCGGCAGGGAGGTCAGGCTGCCACTTCCCCAGCATCACTAAGGCACAGCCACCGTTACCATTCAGGTGCTTTCATAAACTACCACGCTAGCGGCCTTCACCGCCTCCGTCCT